GTGGCCAGCAGGGGTAGGGAAGTGATTGTGCCCCTGTACTCGGCACTGGTGAGGCCGCACCTCGCATACTGTGTTCAGTTTTGGGCCCCTCACTACAAGAAGGATGTTGAGGTGCTGGAGCGTGTCCAGAGAAGGGCAACGAGGCTGGTGAGGGGTCTGGAGAACAAGTCTTCTGAGGACTGGGGTTGTTTAGCCTGGAGAAAAGGAGGCTGAGGGGAGACCTCATTGCTCTCTACAACTACCTGAAAGGAGGTTGTAGCGAGGTGGGTGTCGGTCTCTTCTCCCAAGTTACAAGCGATAGGACGAGAGGAAATGGCCTCAAGTTGCACCAGGGGAGGTTTAGATTGGACGTGAGGAAAAATTTCTTTACTGAAAGAGTGGTTAAACATTGGACCAGGCTGCCCAGGGAAGTGGTTGAGTCCCCATCCCTGGAGGTATTTAAAAGCCGTGTAGATGAGGCGCTTAGGGACATGGTTTAGTGGGCATGGGGGTGTTGGGTTGACGGTTGGACTCGATGATCTTAGAGGTCTTTTCCAACCTCAATGATTCTATGATTTCTTTTTCTTTTGGTCAGAGCCATTTGAAAGCATGAGATTGATGAAGCGGGGTGGATAATTGCTAATGAGCAACAAACTTGGTGTTGGCAGAAAAGGAGCATTGCTAGTTATGGGATAAAGTCAGGCTTTATGGGCAACAAAACTGTGCCGGTGTTAGCAGGTCTGAATGCTGAACAAGAGCCAAGCCTCCTCAATTTTGACATAGTTAGAACATGTTAAGTCCAAGAGGGGAAAAAAAACCCCCACATATCTTGAGTTGTAATAAGTCAGTACAAATCATGCTTTCTTTTTTTTTTTTAGTATCTCTTTAACAGTTTTTACTGTGCTCTTTGCTTCTAGAGTTTATATTCCCATAGCTTGTAGACCCCAAGTACTAGGCACTTGTATAGGGTGAGCACCCTGGAATGGGCTGCCCTGCATTGACTTTTTTTTCTTCCAGAGTGTGACTGGAGCTGTAATGCTTGTAAAGGTCCCCAGAGGACCGACTGCCTGCAGTGTATGGAGGGCTACATTCTCCATGAAGGAGCTTGTGTGGAACAGTGCCCTGCAGCTTTCTACAAGGAATCGGACACATGCCAGAGTGAGTTCTTCTTGGGTGTTACTTCTAATCACTGCTGCCAACATGTTTCCCTGCTTGTCTCCAATTTGTGCACGTCTTGCATTCAGAAGGCACACTCTAGCTTCAGATCTCTCGCTGCCCTCCAGCACGCACACTCAATAGAGCTGTGGTTCCTGCGGGGTGTTACAGCACGGTGCAGGAAGCAGTTGAAAGCGGTGTTGAGTTGAACTTTTTACGTATGACTTTTAGGGTGTGATCAACACTGCCTTCAGTGTCGCCAACCAGATGAGTGCAGCCTTTGTGAAGCCCCGTTTTTCCTCTTGGACACTTACTGTGTTCACAAATGTGGGAAGCGATATTATGCAGACCATGCACAGCGGAAGTGCACAGGTAAGCAAAGTGAGGGTGATGTGGTGGAGAGGGAGTCCGTGTTCTGTACGCTGCTTTTTCTCTCCAAGGCTGGGGTGAAGAGGAAGCGCTTGGATGCTGTGTTAAACTTGCTGTTGAGGTGATGCAGTCAACTTGAGAATCAGATAACAGGCTATATCTGCATTTAGACATGCCTAATTCAGGAGGAATGAGATTCAATGTAGATGGCTGCTGGTGTGTGTGTATGTGTGTGCACGCTGTATATAAAAAACAGCTATTAAAACCACGTTTTTAGAAAGGTTTCAGTTGTATTTGTAGGTTAACAAGCTGTGTAGGACTTGAATGTGCATTTGCAGTATTTTTTTCAAATTGCTATAACAGTTACTTAAAAACACGTTTCCTCCGTTTAGAAGATTATCTCAGGTTCTCTGTAGTCAATGGGAAACAGTGGTCAAATGAGGAAGGAACTTCTTAACGACCCTTTTAGCTCAAGTCTTTGCCCCTTCTTTTTCATTATTTTTGTCAGGTAGGTAAGACACAAAGAGCAGTGGTGTTTCTGTTCTGACCCCTGGGGACAGCTCTGTGCACCAGTGGCTGCATTGTTTTTGCAGTGTCTCAATGGGGTTGTGCTTTCCATCCGATTCAGCTTGTCCTCCTGGATGCTTGGAGTGTGACAGCGACAGCCTGTGCCACCTCTGTGACAGCACCATGTTTCTGAAAAATAAGATTTGTGTTTCTGCCTGTGGCCAGGGTTTCTATGGCAATACGTGGACCAGAGAGTGTGAAGAAGGTACGTGTCTCTCATGGTAAAGCAACCGAGCTGGCAGGCTTCCAGCAGATTTTAAGGCCAGAAGTAGTGTTCATGCAGTGGCATTTTTGGAATTCAGTTCTGTGCAGTTTCGTGTTGACTGTTAAAAGTTGGCAGCCATTTTTCTCCAACTTTTTTGTTTCATAAAATGTGTACGTACGTGGTTTTCTGAGTGAAGTTACCTAGTTAGGCATGGAGGCACGTCTTTCCAATCGCAGTATCAGTTTTCATCAATGTAAAACAAATGAAAAAAAGTCGTGGGGAAAATCCCTTACTAAATCAGCTGTAGTACTTACTTACCTGTTAAAAGTTGGCAGCCATTTTTCTCCAACTTTTTTGTTTCATAAAATGTGTACGTACGTGGTTTTCTGAGTGAAGTTACCTAGTTAGGCATGGAGGCACGTCTTTCCAATCGCAGTATCAGTTTTCATCAATGTAAAACAAATGAAAAAAAGTCGTGGGGAAAATCCCTTACTAAATCAACTGTAGTACTTACTTTTCTTTGTTCTAAATGAAGATTTACTAGTCCATCTGCAGGGCAGGACAGTGTATGTTGGCTTTGAGTTTTGTGATGGGAAGTGAATTGCCCAAGCCTCTCAGAATTATAGTGGGGATTGGGATGGATTGCAGTTCTTCTTGAGATGGTGGTTGTCCACCTAGGTCAGTAACGAACAGGGCATTATAAGGGTCTGGTCTGTTATCCAAAAGATGGTGGTGACAGGCAAGATGCTAACACAGCCCATGGCTGTAATTCATTCAGTAATAGTTTTCCCTTCTTTCTTTTTAGCCAGCAAGCATCCCTCGAGCTTCCATGTGAACGGTACCCTCACAGTAGGAATTGGCGGGATAAAGCCCCTAGACCTCTCCTTACTGGGTGTGCGCGGTCTGGATGGTGACACAGGACAGCTCTTGTTCCATATCGAGAGCCCTCCCTCCAATGGCAGGCTAGTGATGGTGGTGAATGGGAAAGAGGTGCAGCTGAGCAAAGGCGACCACTTCAGCTGCAAGGATGTGAGGGAGAAGAGAGTCCGCTTTGTGCACAGCGAAGAGAAATCCAGGTGACTGTGTTGAAACTTTTTTCAGAGCTCTTGCCTTAAAAAAAAAAGATGTATCTGGAGAACAGGTATTTCCTTGTTCCTTGGAAACATTCTTACAGTGAAGCACACTTCTCACTGCTGTTAGATAAATTGCCAGTGTACTTATACTGTACCATAGTATAAATGATGGTGCAAAACTTCTCTGTTTATGATATAAGAGGTCACTGTGATCCAGCTACCAGACCTGTTGTGCTTTGAGGGTGCAGGAGTCTGTCCCATCTTTAGGATACTCTGCTGTGGGTTTAAAACTGGCATATTAGTCTGGTTATTAGAATTTCTTGATACTGTCAGGAAGATGCTCAAATGATGTCACCAATATGCTCTGCGGCGTAATCTGCATTCAGCCGTTACTTCTTTGCCTGCAATATGAGCTTTGTTAGTGTCCTGGGATAATTAGTGGTGTTTAGTAGCTGGCAGTGCTCACACTGCAAGCATGTTGCAAGGAAGCAGATTTTTCCTGCTGCCAGGCAATAAGCCAGTCATCCTGCCAAATTTCATACTTGATTTACATCACCATAAAGCCTTGGGACTAGACTGATGTCAGTGGAATTGTTCTAAATTTCTGCCTGTGTGTATTAGGGTGTTCTTTGATCCATTGTTTTCAGTAAGACTTTGAGGGTGTCCTTCTGATGCCAAGGGTTAGCTCATGTTCACTAGACTCAAGGCATGTGTTTCTGTATCGTGCTTTTTTTTTGTCTGCTTGGTAGTCACAATGAAATGTCAGGATCTTGCCTTGAGAAACATAGCTACTTTATGTTCAAGGTTATTGGGTGGCATTATTGAAAAGTAAGTAGGAAGCAAAACTGCTGAGAAGTGGGAGCTTCTGTTCCGAAGCCAGATAAGTGACATTTTTCTTTAGCAACGAATAGCTGACATTTAGAATCAGTACTTTATCTTGGAGATGCCATCCTATGTGGGTAACATTAGTTAAAGGGAAATAAGGGTATATTATTACATAGTTAAAAGTATTTTATTACATGTTGTGACTGTTGTGAATCTTCAGAAAAAAATACTAAAAAAACATAATTGAAAAAACTTGAGCTAAAGTTTCCATCACTAAGCTAGTAATTTTTACTGAATATATAATATTTTTATCATTATTGAGTCCTGCAAGAGCACTTCATTAATTTATTTTGTCCTGTATTTTGGCTTGTTGGGGACTTGTTTAGGAAAGGACAGTTTTCCCTGAAGGTCAGCGATCAACGGTTCTTCTCTCATCCTGAGGTGGTCAACATTCAAGCATTTTCAACACAGGTAATGTAACAAAGCTTGGAAACAACCACAAATTTTGTACCATTTTGGAGCCCTGGTTTCTTGCAGTGATAACAAAGGAGCTGGGCAGAACTTGCGCTGGAGTTCAGGTCAGGCAAATTAGACTCAACTCTCACTTAGTTGAGAGGCAGCCAAGAGTCATATGGAAGAACTGGACTTGGGGTAAGTGAGTGAAGAAGCTGGCCCATGTAATTTTGCTTGTGTGGGGAATTGTAGCTGTGCGATCACAGAGCAATTATCAGTGAGGGCTAAGGAGTCCCTACTGTTTAAATTATTCTTTGGATCCGCGGGTGGTCTAGTTCAGTCTCTTACTGCAGGGCAGTTGAACGATGATTGATCCCTATGGTAGGGATGCTTTGACAGTCAAGAGCATTTACTTAAATGCTCTGTTCTGGGACAGTTGGGAGTTAAAGCAGCATGAGCTATTTAAAGTGTGTCTCTTAAACTGCTCACCACTTCTGGGCAAGTTGATGGTACTGTCAAGTATCCATGTCTCTCATATTATTGTTATTTAAAGTCTGTAGCACGATATCGTGGAGGGGCCTTACCCAAGAGATGGTATACAGGCAGTACGTTTGTGACTCCTTGTCTAAGGGTAGGGTCTCTAAAAGGCAATGTATGAAAAGATGTGCAAGATACACGTTAAGGGAGAGGACACAGCATTACAGAAAGGAGGAGTTGTTCAAGCCCAGTCTAGCCAAGCTCAGCCTATCAGCAGGTCGTATCATCGCATCCCTCCGGCCAGGCTTTGATTCCCACTCAAGCTACCGGTGTTCCTCTGATGCTGCTGCGAGGGCAGTGGATGTGCTGGAGCTGCCTGGCCCAGCTTCCTGCTTGCTGCTGGTCGTGCTGGCAGCAAGTTCACCATGGACTCACCTGAACGGGGTCCAGGTTTCCAAGGAGGCTTTGCAGCTTGCACTGAGCTTTTTCCATGGTCGAACTGCCTAGTTGAAAGCTCGATCAGATAGCTTTGCTTGAACTGAAGTTGTTGCGGCTACTTAGCATGTTGTAGCAGTGTAAAGAGACTTTAAAGTGCAAATGAGCGTCTGCTACACTTAAGGCCCATTTACATGCTCAGAGGGGCATTAAATGGCTTGACAAAACTAACTGGAAATCTGGCTATCGTCCTTTCTCTTTTAGTGCTGACGCCTTCTTGCCTAGAAGCCTGACTCAGCATCCACCCTCACAATGAGTAATTTAAGAAATGAATTTCTTTTAATCATTGCAGTGGTGGATGGTTTGTGTCTGAAGGTGCTGGTGCTATTCTGTGCTTCATGCTGAGTGTAGTAGGAGTGTAGCCAGCAGCTTAGAAACATGGTGAGTTGCTGACTTGCTCACTACGTACCATGCTGGGGGCCTGCAGGGGGTCTTCAATTCAATTTAATGTATCTAGTGTTCCTTATAGGAAACAACTCCTCCTGAGATGCGTCATTTCTGTGGTTCTCTGACAATCTTGAGACTTTGCACTGCTTGGTTTTTTCCCCGGTTTGGGGCCCTAGAGAGTTGGTAGCTTCAGGGTTAGGAATTATAATTTTTTTTAATTGCACTTTGTTGCTTTTAATCATTGTATTCCCTATTAAGTCATTCCATAACTTCTGGAAATTAGAAGTGTTCTAGTTTGTCCTTTAGTGTCAGACAAACTGTGGATTTTGATCCTGTTGCGTATATATTGATTCCGGCTGGTGCCGAAATCTTTGCTCAGTCTAATCTCTTGTTTACATTCACCTAAGTAAGAGCTGCAGTCACTGCCCCAGAATACATAAGTGAGGTATAATAATAGGAATTTTGCCTGCCGATCCTTAATTACCCTGGTAAGTTGTACACAGGTGAGATGGCAGCAGTTAGCTCTCTGCTGAATGTTCCCAGGGCTTTGACTTTGTCTGTGGGGGATCACCCCCCTCCCGAGGCAAGGTATTACTGATGGCAAATGATGTTTATCGGGATCAATAGAGGCTGCAGATTTAAACTTTCTTGATGATGAAGAACTAGGGAACTAACTTAAACCAGCAGAAATGTGGAGTGTAGCTGATCTTTGTTCTGGGATGAATAAGACTGTGTGGAGTCTTTGAAAATAAATAAATAAAGATGCTGACGACAGCCAGTTTTGCTGTCTTTGAGAGGGACTTTATCAGTTCAAGACAAGCAAAAGCACATCCTTCAGTGTTAGTTGATTGACTCATTTCTACTTAGAAGCATTAATTCAAGCTTCTGCGTCTCAGTTTGGCTCGCTGCTATTAGTATCCTGTGTAGGTTATTCTCCCTCTGCTCGCATTCTTCCTTGCTTCCTTTTTTTCCCCTCTCTGCAACTGATTTTAAACAGATAACCTAGGCACACAGGTTGTGTGGGGTCTTATTCTCAAGCATCAGTGCTCTGAAAGATGTCTTAAGTTCCCGAAACGGTAGGTTATACACAGGGAGAATGTGGTGTGTCTCCATCCCCAACCCACCCTGAACTGATTATTCACAGACATAAATCTTCAGCATCTGAGGTGCCTGCGTTCCAGTTGGGCCTGCGGACATGCAAGTAACATGTAGACCTTCCAAAATAGTTGGGGTCCGCATTTCCATTTGAATTTCCATGGATGGTAGTAAGGCAAAGCTGTGTCCCTTGTCTCTTATCTGTGCAGACAGCTGTGTACTGCACAGACAGCCTGTGCAGTACAGGCTCTAGCTGATAACTAAATTGCTTTCTATATATATGTCCTAAGTTTTTTTCCTTTCCTAAGCTTGCTGTGGCATGAGAATCTTCTTTTAATGTAACTAAATCAGTCTAAATTGCTAGATATTGTTAGATCTGCCCGCTGGGGGGGAAGTGTGGAGAGTGATTCTCTGCTGCTTAGAAATAGGAGGTTTCTAGGAATGAAGTGAGCTAATTTCCTTAACCCCATATTTTTCATTCCAGACTTTGATCATGATCAAATTGCTAAGGTTTAGCAAACACCTAAGAGCTGCTTTTGTGTTTCAGGCCCCATATGTGTTCAGAAATGAGGCCCTCCTTGTCCACAGAGGGAAAATGGGAACTATAACAGAACTGTTGCTTGGTGTGAGAGACAGTGACAATCCTCGGGACGTTGTGCTGACGGTTTTAGAGCCTCCACGTCACGGGCGGCTGACCGAACCTCCTGGAGACTCAGCTTCTGCAGTCCACATATTCCGCTTGGATGACCTTGCCGGAGGACTGCTGCGTTATGCTCACGATGGCTCTGACACTCGGGATGATGCAGTTCTTTTGCAAGTGAATGATGGGTATCACTTCCAGAACATCCTGTTCCACATTAAGATTGCTCCCAAGGTATGTGCTGTGACATAAACTCTCGCAGGCAAATTAGAAGTCTGGAGAAGTATCACTATGTCCCTGAGGTGTCGCTAATCCTGCATTACCGACAGGCTGTGGTCAGAGGCAGGAGAAAGTAGTGGATTGATTGAGTTTTGGAGGTCACCTGAATTTTTGGTTTGCGACAGGAATGGTTCAGCTCAAATTGTGCAGCTTTGACAGTTCAAAGTCCATAGTTACTTGATGAAAAGATTTTCTGGAGTTGCAGGTGAGAGTTTTGCGCTGGTAAGGGCAATGAATTAGAGAATGAGTGGATGGCAGAGAGAGAGGGCTGATGAGATAGGCAAACCAGTCACTGGGCTGATGGGAGCGTTATGGGAGACACAAAAGGACCACACGTGATCTAAACAGCTTGGCTAATAAGGTGTATCACTGGGACTTTGGTGGTGGTGGTGTCTCCCAGGGTCAGGACCTCTCCTGCTCACTCAGCGTTGCTCCACTGAAATCTTTTGCTTGATGCATCTTTCTACTTGATAACTTCCCTAAGGACAGGGCACAGATACCTAAATTCAGAAATGATTAAGAAGTGCTTTAATTTTTGTTTCTGGCTTTTATTGCCGTTCATAATTAAGTACCGGTTGTTTGTCTCTTCTGTATTTGGACAGGAAGTGGCACTTTAGATTAAATTTTATAGACATTACAGCAGTAAAATTAGAAACAGTGGTGCTTTTCCGTTTGTTTATGAAACAAACCCCAGCCAAACAAGGCGTGAAATACATACAGTATGTGTGGTGGAGCCTTGGAAAAAATAAAGTTGCTGAAGTGCTTGCAAGCATTTCAGTTCTGGTATTGTGGTATTGTAATAAAACAGAAGGAAAAAGAAGCTGAGAATTTCCTTATCCCTTAGTTAACGTTGAAAGAGTAGTGAAAAACAGAGCTGTCAGAGAAGTCCACTGTTAGCAGTCTTTTTATGTATGGACCTGAGAACGACACAATCTTTGAGTGCTTCCACTCCATGAAATGGAGTTAGGAGGAGATGATGTTATCCCTCTTTCGTCCTCTTCTCTGCTGCATTAGATGCCTTTCACAGCAAGTTGGGCATGAAAATTTTAAGTGAGGTTTACAAGCGCTACATGCATCTGTGTAGTTAGCACAAGGAGGGACTGATCCCATTTGGACCCTGCGGGTGCTCCTAAAGCTGCGGTAGTAATTAATGATAATTAGTGACATGACTCACACATCAGTCTGGGAATGAAAGGCTGGTGCAGAGTTATTAGACTCCTGGAATAAGAGCAGCCCTGCCTGTGGTTTCTTTACCCAGATCGCTTACGTGGCCCTAAGGAGCCTGTATAAGATCAGAAGGACTGTAGAAATGCTTGGACACCACTCTGCTCTTTGTAACGCTTTTTTTTTTTGCTATTGATTAAGCAGGTTCTTCTAAATGCCAGTGAGGGTGAACTGCTGAGCATAGTTTCTTTTATTAGACGATTTTGCGCTCCCTTGTCTCTCATCTTTCCAAGCGTCTCTGTGCAGCGCTTGGCTACAGAGAAGAATGAAGGTGGTGACAGAGGTGAAAGTGGAGCGGCTTTTAGTATGAGGATAGAGCTGGCAGATACCCAGCTCCTGCCTCATCCTAATTATTGTCTTTGTGGAGTGGCCTTGGGAGCTGAAATGCATGCAGGGTTTGTTTCTGAAAAGGTGCTGTTGAGACACACACGCAAAGACACTTGTTTTTTTTTCCTTGGTTTACATCCAAAGATTGCTAAAGAGCCTGGTAGGACCCTGGCTGGAGGCGTGGGGGTTCAAGGTGTGGTTTTTTAACCACATTACTTATCTGAGTACATGGAGCTTGTTATAATGTGCTGCTGGATGGTTTTATATATTAAGTCCTGGTGTGAAAGGACATTTCTAGGATTCCTATTCAATGGGCTCGGACAGTATAATTCTCAGACATTAATCCATAGGAGCACTGTGGTGAAAGTGTGAAAACATAAATGAAGGACAACATAACCTTCCAAATATTATGAATTAGAGGGTTTTCTTTCTTCACAACAGGTGTGCCTTGTTTTCTGCAAGGTGCTTTTTTTAGTCCCTTTGGTTGCTCACAGCCTGCTTTTCCGTACTTGCCCCCATCCAAGCACTTCATTTGACCTACCGCAGTCTGAACAGCTGGCCTCTATTTTGAGAGCTCTTGATAATGATTTGCACTGCTGTATATTCTTGTTGATGTTCTCTCACAATTACAGCCTCTGTGAAGTTAATTTGAGACCTGCTGGTGCTTCATTTTTGGCAGAGCACCACCAGTGGTGCTCCAATGGGGAATAAGGAGCCCATGCCCTAGAAAATATGATCGTAGGCTATGTACTGTAAGTCAGAGAAGGTCAGATCTACCCACACGTCATCTGCCCGTTGCTGACAGGATATGGAAGCCTTTCTTTTCTGAAGGGCTAGGGGGAACGCAGGAAAAAGACAAAAGATGTTTATTTTAGGGGTGTGTTGGACCTCTAGAGGAGATCCAGCTAAGGGAGGTCTCCAGGATATTTGCAAGTCACTGCATCTTGTCCTACCTGGGAGGAGGTAGCTGAAGCATGGACCAGGGAGCATGTTAGCCTCCCCGGGCTCCCTGAAAACTTTTCCTGTGCTGTGAATTTATTTCCACAGTTTGCCAACTGTGTGCTCAGGTATCAGTTAAAAAAAAAATCTAAAGTGATTCTAGCTGTTTTGCTGAACACAAGGTAAGTCGCTAAATACATTTTAAAAAAGATTACCAAGCAAAAAGAGCTGTCTCACGAATGTGTTCTTATTAACAAGCAGGATCACAGCATCAAAGCCAGGTGGAAATGGTATTGCAAAATGCCGGACTGGTTTAATGTGGCCAGTGAAGGAACATTCAATCATTTAGTTACGAAGAGCCGAAGGGTTCCATGTTTATAGCAAAATCACGACCTTGTGTTTAATTAGCATTCACTTGGAAATATTTTCTTTTTAAACAGTGCATTTTGCCTGTCATTCTTTGAAGTGTGGCTAGTCTCTCTTTTCTCTCCTCCTAGAATAAGTCCAGGGACCTTTCTGACCTTTTTACTTTGTTTCCTGTTCCAGACTTGTGCTTTGCTAGGCCTATATGTGCCATGATGTGATCGAATCGATAAGGTCAGAGGAAAGTTATCATATATATTGTCAGGGTTCTCTTGGCTGGCACAGGGTCTGGTTTTCTTCTTCACTGTTCTTTAGAAAAATAAAGCAACCATTGTGCTAGGAAACTCTTGACCTGACACAGTCTAAGATCACGCAGCATTTAAAAATTTACACTGTGCAAAATAAGTGTAGTACAAATTAAATGGGTGAAAGTTGCTCAGCAGACGTGTCAAAATGGAGATGGGAAATCATCCTTTAATGTGATTCTTTTTCACAAACATCTTTTTAGCTTTCTCTGCTGTCTCTGTTGCAGATTCAGAAGAACATAGTAATGAGTCGTTTATCAGTTTTGGGGTGACACATGATTTTGCGGAGTAGTAAATGAGGAGGATGATGATCACTTATATGGAGCAGTCAGGATTTTGACTGCAGTTCACCACAGCCAGTTTCAAGGTGAATCTGCAGAAATCAAGAAGAGAAGTCATATTTACAGTAACTGGGCTTATAAGAAAGAACCATGGCACAGAAGAGGTCACAGAGATTTTGGTGGCCTGTCCAAAAGAGCATGAGCTAACAAAGTAATTTATAGAGTCAAAAAGGGCTAATATAATCCTTGAATGCCAGAGCATTGTTACTGAAGTAAATGAAAATGGTAGTGAAACCATTACTGCATCCAGTCCTGACATCCACATTTCAAAAAGCTTGAATGAATAATGGATAAATATTCATTTGGAAAAAAAGCTGCAGGAATAATTTGAAGGTTAGAAAACCCACCGAGTAGCAAAAGACTTTGATGGATGCTCAGGCAGACTTCAGTTTTACAAAAGTGGTTAAGAGATGACCTGACCGTGGGTGTAAGTCCCCACATGGAGAGAAGATATTTGATCTAAGAGTCTTCCTACAAGTATGTTCTAACTTAGCAAAAAAAGTGATGTGGCTTTGGTTGCAGTAGTTACTAAGTGAAATTTGTATATCTAATTTCTGAATGTTAAACTGCTTCTGTTGAAGCAAAGGATGGAAAACTGTCATAGTTCACGTTTCTGCCAAAATTCATCATTAGCATTTGCATACCGTTAAGTTCCATTTTTTCCCATCTTGTAGAAAAGCAGGAGGTTGGTCTTGAACCTGGGTTTGCTCATGGAGAGATGATAACAGTTACAGATGTGTGTAAAGATAGTGGAGGTGCCGTAGAGATACTTTTGAATGGGTAAGAAGCTGTTGTTCTATAAGTACCCTTGAAAGGTGTGTATTTTTAGAAATAAAATGAAGAGATGTGAGAGAAAATATGGATCCAATCAAACTAGTGTAGTAGACGAGATACTTTCGTTCAGATGTTGATAGTAGTGAATTTTCCACTGTGCCGTGGAGATAAATTGTGTCAAGACATGTCAGAAGTCAAGCGGGGTGAGAATGAGGATGGTGGTAAAAGACAAAATTATGGAGGGAGACTGAGGTTAGCTGAGAAGGTTTAGGAAATTAGAAACATTGGAGGACAAGGTCAGTTCTACAGGGTGAGAATTGGGTCCGAGGGATATAGGTGAAGGATGCACAACCATTTCTTGAAGCAGACAACCAGGATTGAACGCATAAGAAATTCCAAAATACTCTGCTTGATCCTTTTCACTTGAAAATCTGTTTCCGTCAGTGCAGCATTGCTGACATTCAGTTAAGCCTTTTTCTGCTGTCCCCCTGCACGCAGAATAACCGAAGCCCTCAGCTGGTGACAAATTCCTTGGTCTGGGTGCCCCAGGGAGGCATGCTACAGATCTCCAAGACAATTCTGCACGCCAAGCTACCCGGTGCCCGTGACTCGGAGATAACCTACACCATCATCAAGGACCAGCCAAGACATGGTAAATATCTTTGGAGTTTTGTTGTCAAAAAACAGCTGTAGGGCGTTGCTTTTCACCCCACATGCCCCAAAGTGTCCATCCGCTAAATAAAAGTGCAAGGTTTTGGTTACTTCTGGGGAGAAGGGTGTTCTTCACAGACCTATGGGAATGTGATTCTTCATGGTGTTTTGCATACAAACAAATAGCATTTGAGGGAATATTTCCTTATAATACTTGCTGAATCAGTGCTGCTAACCTCATCTTTTTCCAATTCAAATGGGCATGCAAAGTAATGAAGCACTATTGTCCTGCCTAGTAATCTGAACTTCTGCAACTGTGTCTCTCTAGTGGTAGTTAAATTCTGGTGGATTTACAGCCTTGTGAGAGCAGAATCTTACTCACTGCCAAATGATAATATTCTACAATGAACGTCTGGTTTAAGAGCAGCATAGAGTAATATCTACCTCTAGGAACTGCTGAGCAAAAGTTTACCATGAAGAATTGGAGAACTCCCTAAATTCCATGACATTTGATTTAATTTCTACTAATGGAAGGGGTTACTGACTCAAACAGAAATTGGTGACATTTGCATCCGTATATAATTCTTGTCTCCAAATTCCTTTTGAGAGGCTCTGATCTCATCTCTCAGAGCAACGGCTTTCCCAAGCAACCCCATGCGTAGGACTGCAGCTTACAGAATATCTTCTGGACCCAGGCCAAGGAGGAGTGTGGAAGGTACTGGGATTTGTGGCTGAGATAAAGACTGAGAGAAACTGGATGGGAAAGAGAAGACGTCATGGAGGGAAAGGAAATATGGACAGAAGAGAAAAATGTTATTTTCCCGCTCAGCATCACCATTTTCTTCACTAGAACCATGTCTTTAAATAGTATATTTTTCACGTCTATGAAATGATATCATTGCTTTTAATTTGCTGAGCCAGATAAAATTAGAGGATCCCTTTAGCAACATCAGTGCTGGTTTTTTGCCTTGTGCTGTAAGGATAGTGTTGTGGTTTAACCCCAGCCAGCAACTAAGCCCCACACCGCCGCTCGCTCACTCCCCCCCGGTGGGATGGGGAAGAGAATCAGAAGAGTAAAAGTGAGAAAACTCGTGGGTTGAGATAAAGACAGTTTAATAGGCAAGGCAAAAGCTGTGCACGCAAGTGAAGAAAAGCAAGGAATTCATTCACTCCTTCCCACCAGCGGGCAGGTGTTCAGCCATCTCCAGGAAAGCAGGGCTCCGTCACGCGTAACAGTGACTTGGGAAGACAAACGCCATCACTCTGAACGTCCCCCCCTTCCTCCTTCTTCCCCCAGCTT